ACGGGAGAACAGGCTGGCCGGCCACGCCGAGACCTCATTCCTCAGAGCGGAGAGCTGCCAGAGGCCAGAGCTGCTCAGAAGTCCCCGTGTCAACAGGAAGAGCCAACGGGTCACTGAAATCAAGGGCCAAAAGCCAGAGGAGCCCAGGAGCGGCCCGCCAGCACCAGGCGCAAGGCAGCCGGGCCTGCGGGCTGGGAGCCCACTCTCCACCCTTCCTGCGGGGTCTCCACCCCCAAGGATGGTGCCCGGGCCCCCGCGAGCCCCGCCCCGGCCTGGGCCGCCTGCCTGTGGGGCGAGGGTGGGCGCCCTGCCCAGATGCAGGAAAGGGGGTCGCGGCAACCAGGCCACGATCTGCCACCACCAGGGCTGAGAAACGGGAAAGCGACAGGTACTCCCGGTCTGCTTGCCAAACTTCAGAAACCCGATTTTTTCCAAAAAAACTCCACGGTTCCTCCAAAGCCGCTGCCCGGGGGGCGCCGGGGGTCCCGGGGGGAGCTCTGTCGGTCCGCACTCATGACCCTCACCCCCCGCCTCCACTCGCCTCCGAGGCAGCAGTGGGCACCAGCAGCTCCGTGCGCTCGGGGGCAGAGAGCTCTGCCTCTAAAATGGGAAATACATTGAAATTGGCAATGTCGCCCTGCTCATGGGTACTTGGGGAAAAAAATCTGATTTCGGGAATCTGAAAACATCGTAACTCAACCAGGTGCATCGGCAACATGACTTTACGGCGTGTAAAGCGCTACGGAGATAATTTCTGTGAGACAAGCGAGAAAAAACACCTGCGGGATTTACAGCCCTTGAATCCAGCGGTGACCTGGGCTCAGGAGTTTACAACGCGAGTGTTCGCAACATCATTCAAGGAACGTTCCCCCCCAAGAATTATAACACCCAATGACAAAACCAAGTAAGAGTCTGCAACAAGTCAAAATGTGGACTAAAAGGCAGCTGCCTAACACACAAAATACAGAGACACCGGGACACTCGGCTCCTCAACTATGTGATAACGTGATGCTTTTAAAGAAGTAACAGTGTCACGTCTGCCATGTGAGGGACTCGACTGTCGCTTCATTCAAATATGCGGATTTACATCCCACGTTTTATACTCAAGGGGTCTTGATAGGTTAGCAAAACGCAGCCGTCTCATTACACTCACGACTGAAGTACAGAAAAGAAATGCTTGCAAGCAAAATACCAGAACATCGCTGTCACCAGGCCGAACGTTCCACAGGGCTGACGGGTCACACGGCAAAGCGTGACGGAAGAACCAGCGGCGGGTTAGGAAGCGTTTTTCTCAAATTCGAGAGCCACAGACTCCCACTCCTGGTAGCAGGGCACGTCAGATGTCAACAAACAACCTGCCAGGCACGAAAACTCCATGCTGACCGGTCTGGATTTCCCTGAGGGACGTGCGGTCACCTCAACTAACAAAATGCACCACATCGACGAAACAAAACAACGAGAACATATTATCACCTCAAATGACAGCGAAAGGGTTTGCCAAACCTTAACGACCACTTACGACGTGGAAACTCTGAGCGAGGCACGGCCCTCACCAGAGAGAGGGGGGGCCTGGAAAGCCCAGGAGAAATATCAAAGTCAGCGGTGCGATGCTGGCAGATGCCCCCTGACAATCGGAAATGCCACCAGCGCGCCTGCTTGCGTCGCTTACGGCCAACGTCGTGGCAGCAGCGTGAGCCGGCACAAGCAGACAAATAAAGAAGGAGGAAAGGTTTGGACAGAACAGAACGAAAAAACGAAACCGTCCTCACTCACAAATGATATCATTGCCGTCTTCAAACCCTCAACCCACACACAAAATATCAGAAGTCATGAAAGAGGTAAGTTTGCCAAGTAGAAGATTAACTTACAAAAGTCGACTGCATTTCTATACGGTGTCAATAAAAAATTAGAAAACACAAAATTTTTAAAGGTACCATTTATTTTTAAAATGAATCTGAATAAATTTAACAAGCTAGGCAATACATTTAAGGAAAAACACTGTTTAAAAATAAAAGATGACAAGAACTAAATAAACGCAGAAACAAAACATTTTCTCCAACCAATCAACGATCCATGGTGATATCTGAGATCGTCACAAAACATAAGAAACTGATTTTAAATTTACACACAAAGTGAAAGGTCAAGAACAGCCCAGAAATAAGACCAGATGTGGCGGCTGTCCTACCAGACATCAAGACCACGTGCAAGGACAAGAGGCGGCCAGCACAGGGACGACTGGACAGACAGCGCAGGAGCCGCTCAGAGGCCAGGAGGGCCCCGTCCGCGCGCACCCAGGACGTGCGGCAGAGCTGACAGGGCCAGGGGCGCGGCTGCTGTCCAGGCGGGGAACCCCACGGAAACTGCACTGCTACCCCAGTTCCAACAGTCCGTGCCAAACGGACATAGTCCTAAAGGCAACAGGCAAAACCGAAACTCTCGGACGATGTAAGATTTCTCTGAAATCACATGCGAGGTTGGACAAAACGCCTTAGGACACGAACAGGCCCAGAGGTGATGGGAAGGACTTCGAACTGACTGTTTGGTTAAGAAGTTCTCTTCTCCGATGAGTGAAAAAGCCACCTGCTCAGAGAAGACACATGCACCCACGTGCACCCAGACAGAGCCGGCATGCTGCCTGCAAACCAGGGGCCCCAAGACACAGAAAAGACAAACGAGACAGCGGCATCTCACGCGAGGGAAACAGATGGCCGAGAAACTGGTGACAAAACACTTACTTCGCCCCCAACTAAGAACGTGAGAACTGGAAGCGCAGCGAGACCCCTCCGCGCCCAGCAGCCAGCTCAGGACAACGGTCAGCCGGGCAGGCTGGGGACGGCCGGGGGCACAGCGCCCCAAACCAGCCGGGCGCCCCTCCTCAGCACACGCCCCAGAGCGGCACACCCTGGGGCCCCCGCCCCAGCACCCAGGGCCACACTGCGAGAGGAGGACGGCCCAGCATCTCCGGACAGCAGGCTGACTGGGTCACCCCCCAGCAGGCTGCAGTCACCCCCCCCCAGCAGGCTGCAGTGACAGAAGGAGCAACCGCGAGTGCAGACGACACACACACGCACCTGAACACATGCGACAGAGCCGCGCAGAAACGCAGGGGGACGACCAACCAAACTTCGACAGGACGGTTACCCGTTGGGGGACGAGACAATGTCTGGGGAGGGACAGAGGGGGCTTCGACAACACCGGCCTCGCTCTAACGCTTCAGCTTCGCTTCGAAGGGCCTGCAGAACGCCCACAAGGACGGCGGTGTGTCCCAACTCACTCGTCACGCCGGCACATCATAACCACGAGAGAGCCAGGGGACAGTGGGACAAGACAGACCCAGGCTCTGTCCTCGCAGAGCCGAAGAGAAGGCCAGGGCCGTCGGTCAAGGCCAGGATGCAGCCGTCTTGGGCCACGCGCGAGGCGACAGCCAAGCACAGAGGAGCCGCCGATTCACTGCCGACAGCTAGCACCCGAGAGGGCGATCGAGGCCAGTCCCGTGAAGCCACTGCAGTGGCTGTGCCGTCAGCTGCGTGTACATCCAGGCCTGGCCCCCACAATGCAGAAACTTCACCTTCATTTTGCCTCCTGGCTAACACGAGACCAAGATCTCTACACTCCCTAAAGCCCCTCACTGAGCACTTCACGTCCTCCCACACAGAGCTGTGCCCAAGTCACCCCCTTGTCCGCTCCCCTGGGAGCCCGTCTGCCCAGAGGTGGGACTGCCCTGCCCAGCAGGGCCTGGACAGGCCCGCACCTCCCCGAGGGGCCCAAAGGGGTGCACGAGAGCCGAGGGGAAGCCGTGAAGGACAGAGACCCGCTGCCAGGGCTCAGGACCAAGGGACAGAGGTCCCCGGATGTCACACACAAGCAGGCCAACCAACATCAACTGGCGGCAACTGGCTCCCTCAGAGACCGAGAGGCCCATGAGCTCAGCTCTATGAGGAATGTGTCAAGTGGCAGGAAAAATACAGAAATAAACTAAAGGACTTGTGGCAGACTCTATTTTCTCTTTAAAAGTAAGTAAAAAAGAGGTTATCTCTTATTTTTCAGGCACAATAAGCACAACTATTGAAAAGAACAATCAAAGGGAAGTATCTCAAAATGGCTACTTCTGCGGAAAACTGATTTTCTCCTTCTGTGTCACAAGGTCCGTAAGTACTTTCGCTTGAATGATCCTGGATTTTTTTTTAATGCACTTACCACACAGACGAGAGATGTCAAAGGTTAAAGGTACGTTTACTGGAGCAATCAAGATGCAAAACTAATACTTCCCATGAAAACTTCAATTTTTAAAGAGGCACCATGTGTAACAGCAACAAAATAATCTAATAAAACATACATAGTACCTTTACGGAGCAAATTTTAAAACTTCGTTGAAAGGATTAAAAATGGCCTAAAAATGGGGACTCGGCACGTTCATGAAAATGAAGACTAAATTTCATAAAGATTCCAGTTGAATCTTTATCCCAAATTGATTTATAGATTCTGTGCAATCCCGACCACGAGTCAGACTTTAAAAGCCAAACTGTGGCTTTTGATCCTCCGATTCCGAGGCTTATGTGAAAGAATGAAGACCTCGGACTGTACAAGCAACTCCAAAGAGGAAGCGGGGTGTGGACGCCCCCCGACCGCGCAGATCAGAACTCGTGATCCAGCTGAAGTAACGAGCGAGGCCTGGTGTCAAGGGAAAGTGACGTGAACACCGGGACAAAACAGGAAGTACGAGAACGAGACCCCCGTGACCGTGGACACGACGCAAACCAGAAGTGACACCAGACACGGGAGACACAACGGAGCCCGTGTGCGACGCTGGGACCCACGGGCCACTACACGAGGGGGGCAAACGGGACCCCTTCCTGTCGGCGGTTATGGCCACGCGGGCCGCCCCCGACCTGCTCCTGCATAAAGCGCCCCAACCGCACCAACCACCTCACTAGCAGAGGGGCGCCGATCACCCCACCGAAGCCGAGCCCTCCACGGGGCGCCCGGACGCCGGCCCTTACCTCGGTCACGCTGGGTTGCAGCAGCAGCGCCTCGGGGCTCATCCGGGGGATGTCTATGTGGATCTGGAGGGGACAGAAAGGGACAGACGATGACGAACGCTGCGTCTGGTACTGTATCAGAACGGCGATACTCGTGACAGCGACGCATGTGCCGTGGACCCGCGTGGGCTCTCCGAGGACAGGACCACCCACGCGCCGGGTCCCCTGGGGCGGGAGCGGGTGCCAGCCCAGCGGCCTGCGGTGCCCAGCAGCTGCGTGCTGAGGAACTGAGCTGGCCTTCGGCTAGTTAGTGACATGATCCATAGCAATTAGCAAACACTGATTTCCAGCCTCTGACTCGAGAGCAGTTCAAGTACATCAACAGTGGACAAGTTCTCAGACGTGACAGCTTCTCCTCAGAACGCAGGCCACATTCTCTTCTGCTGCAGAGTCCTTGGGGGACCCTGGGCACTTTCCACAGGCAGCATTCAGAAACCTTTGCCTGTCGGGAGAGCCACACAGAGCCCACCACACACACGACAGAGGAACACACCTGCGGGGGCAACAGACAACTAAACACGTCGTCGGCTCGAGCTGGCGCACGGGGCTTCCAACACCCCGGAACACCCTACACTGCCCAGCGCTGTCACCTGCCCCACCGCCCCGGGAGACAGCACAGACAGGCCGAGAGGGCGCCTATGGTCCAGGTTCGTTCCCGCGTCCCGGCCTTGCACGTGACCTGGGCGGCCTTCCCACTGTGCCTACTAGCGCCGTGGTCCTGGGCGCGTCGTAGGCTCTGGGGCTCAGTGCCCTTGTCTGCCAGGTGCCTGCCACACCCCTCCAGGGGCGCTGGTGAAGGTCAGACAAGACGGGGCTCACAGCCCTGGGCACACAGCTCCGGGGCCGGGAACTGCTTCTGACGCCACCGGGGTCGTCCCTGCCATAAACCCTCCCTCGGGGAGCATCTGGGGCCCAGCAGCCACGGGCATGGGGCGGCGGGGGGCTGCGTGGGGTGGGAACTGGAATGGCAGCCAGCGGCCCGCACACCAAGGCGTTCGGGAGCATGGCTACGAGGCCACAAGGGGAAGAAGTCAGACAGGGAAGGAGGTGGCACCAAAGGAGCACAGGACTAAGCTCTCAAGCCCTCTGCGCAAAGCGTCCCCGACATGTGCCAAAGGAGACGTGGGGGCCAGGACGAGGAAGGAGGGGACAGTCCAGCCCGAGGGCGGGATGAAGACCTGTCGGATCGCATCCCTTGCACCAAGGCACCTTCGAGGGCCACCCATGCAACCACACGTCTGTCCCCAGCACCCCAAGGCCACCAAAGCCAGCCCGTCGTACAGGAGAGCTGCCTGTCACGTATGTGAACAGACAGGACAGGGCTCATCATGACCACACCCTGCCGTAACCTGTGTCACTGGGAGGAAATCCAATGGGAGAGGAGGCATCCCACAAGGCTGGACACGCGGGGCTGCGTGCCCCTCCACACCGCCCGTCCCACCCCCGTGTAAGGACAGGGCGAGGAGGAGGCCGTGACGGTCCCCGGAACCCCCAGGGAGCGGAGGGCACGCCGGCGCATCTCTAACCTCGCCGACTCTGTGTGCCCTGGACCTGACACGTTCTCCAAGAGCGAACACAGGAATCACAGTGCAGGGGCCGCGGCCCCACCTGCCCCGCCTCCCAGAGAGAGGCCACGGGCTGCACGCCTCGGGGCAGGTGGTCAGCCAGGTCAGTTCACAGGTCACACGTCGTCCGTTGGTGGGAGCAGGGAGACACCGGGGTGACCAAGCCCCAAACCCAGCGGCTCAGCCCTGACCTAACTGTGGGGACCTAACGGGGCGGGAATGGGAGGTGGGATGGCACAGGCTCCATCTCCGAGGGGTGGGTTTGCTCGGCTGCGAAGCGAGTGGCCAGCAAGAAGCTGCTCCAGGTCACGTCTCTCTCGGTTACACAAACACAGAAAGTCCCTGGGACCCAAAATCCTATGGGAGATTTTCATCACCTGTCGTAGTAACTGAATAAAGATGTGCGCCACCGTTTTTAATGAACTTTCCCTTAAGAAATTCGTAACAGAACACAGCTCGGTAAATCTTTCAGATAGACGCTGATGTCATCCTTTGGAAGTCTTCTTCTTGAATAAAAATACATCAAAAGCGTGTTCAAAACAGCACCAAATTTACCCATTCTCCACCAAGCGTGGGTGGGAAAACTAACCAGGTCAGCTAATTAATTTCCCAAACCACATCCAAACGCAACCTGCCTCAAGTCCGTTTCCCAGAGTAACTGGGTGGCAGTGCCATGTGGCCCAAGGGTGGCCGGGGGTGGGGCAGAGGACAAGCCTCGCGCAGCAGCGCACCCAGGGGCAGGGGGCTGCCCTGGAAGACAAAGCAAGCGGCCCCTCCCCGGACCACCCCAGAGCCTCGTCTGTGGAAGACACTTCGGGAACCCATCCTACTTAAAAAAACTGGTTCTCAAGCAGAGGGGAGCCTGCCTGGGGTGCTTAACAGGCCTACACCAACTGACGAGAGCGGCGAAGAGCCCCATCTGGGCCTTGCTCCGTCACCCAGAGGTAAGTTCCCCGAAGGAGACGTGTGACACGGGGTCGCGAGAAAACCGAGGCGCCTCGGAAGCTGAGGGGGCACGAGCCACCTCGGACCCTCACGCACGAAACTGGGGGCCGCGAAGGCCGCGAAGAGCTAGGCCTGCAGCAAGTCTGGACGCGCAGTGTGCCCCCAACCGCTCGCCTGCCTTCAGGCTCATCCACGTCTGGGAAAACAGGTCAGTGCCCCGACCGGGGACGCGCCGGATAAAACACGTCCTCCCACACGTTGGCACCGAGCCAAAGCGCCGCCGGGAACACGCGAGGAAGGAAAAGCGTCCCCACCTGTCTGTACGTGTCCTGGTGGACTTCGTCATTCCGAGAATCGTAGTAGCGCTCGATGAACGTGAAATACTCTTTCTGTTTTCTCTGGAGAGTGGCCGGTCTTCGGTCGACGTTGGCAGGAAGGTAACCCTGGGGGGAACACAAAGAAGGATGTGCGTTAACGCGCAGTCTCCCCTGGAAGACGGAAGCCAAAGAGGACGGGACACAGCGGGACGAGGACTGAGTGGTGGAAAGAGACACGGGTGACGGTCAGTCCGCGAGCGACCCACATGCAGCTCCACTCCCGACGGCCTGCACAAGGGCCCTGGGCTCGGGCGCCGTGGGCCCCCCTGAGC